TTTTGGGGTGGTTTTGGGTTATTTCTCTCCCATTTTTGGGGTGTTTCACTGCCGTATTTTGGGGTGTTTTGGGGTGGTTTCTCTCCCATTTTTGGGGTGTTTCTCTGCCATATTTTGGGGGCACATTTTGGGTTTTTTCTCTGCCATTTCTGGTCTATTTCTCTGCCATATTTTGGGGTGTTTTGGGTTATTTCTCTCCCATTTTTGGGGTGGTTTTGGGGTGTTTTTCTGCCATTTTTGGCGGGAAGTTTTGGGGTAGTTTGGTGCCAATTTTGGGGTATTTCGCTGCCATTTTTTGGGATATTTCGGGCCGTTTCTCTCCCATTTTTGGTGTATTTTGGGGTGTTTCTCTGTGATATATGTGGGGGATATTTTAGGTTATTTCTCTGCCATTTTGGGGGCTATTTCTGTGCCATTTCTGGGGTGGTTTCTCTCCCAATTTTGGGGCATTTCTCTGCCATATTTTGGGGACATTTCGGGCCGTTTCTCTCCCATTTTCGGGGCGGTGTTTTGGGTTATTTCTCTCCAGTTTTGGGGTGGTATCTCTCCCAATTTTGGGTGGTTTCTCTCCCAATTTTGGGTGGTTTCTCTCCCAATATTGGGGCGTTTCTCTCCCAATTTTGGGGCATTTCTCTGCCATATTTTGGGGATATTTTGGGCTGTTTCTCTCCCATTTTTGGGGCGATGTTTTGGGTTGTTTCTCTCCGGTTTTGGGGGTGTTTCTGTGTTATTTTTGGGGGATGTTTTGGGGTTATTTCTCTGCCATTTTGGGGGCTATTTCTCTGCCATTTCTGGGTGGTTTCTCTCGGATTTCTGGGATTTTTGGGGTGGTTTCTCTCCCATTTTTGGGTCATTTCTCTGCCGTATTTTGGGGACGTTTCGGGCCTTTTTTCTCCCATTTTTGGGGCGGTGTTTTGGGTTATTTCTCTCCCATTTTTGGGGTGGTTTTGGGGTGTTTTTCTGCCATTTTTGGGGGGAAGTTTTGGGGCAGTTTGATGCCATTTTTGGGGTATTTCGCTGCCATTTTTGGGGACATTTCGGGCCGTTTCTCTCCCATTTTCGGGGCGGTGTTTTGGGTTATTTCTCTC